AAAGATCTATAAAAGTTGTACTTGTTTTCAACTGCACTGAAAAATGTACCCAAACCTAAAGAGTTATTACACATCATACTTCTAGTAAGATGTCAAATGTCATAATATTCTTATTCAAAGTTCTCCTGCTCAAGCAACAATTTTATCAGCTATTCATTTAGTACATTAAGTTATTTATTCTACATGTGACCTAACAAATAAAGATTTGGACACGGCAGTCTGAATTAGACATCTGAATCCCAGCCAATCTACATCCACTATATTGCATTAGCAATAGGGGAGCAGAATTTAGAAACAAACTATTGGTGATCAATACAATGCCTTTTAATTTACAGGCTTTTTCCTATTATATTTGAAAATGCTATGATAATAAAATTAATTTGCAACAATTTTTTTCAACACATAACATACAAGCATTCCCTACTGCTACTATAAAATATGGGGAAAACATATTTCTGTGCCCTCTTTTTCTCCAAATTCCCCTTGTAGATATATAATTGATATATTGATATAAATATATTTAATTGTAGTTGATTATAGTTATTGAAGTTGAATCATTTATCAGTGATTGTGACTATATTCAGAGAAAAGTTCTGCAGTCATTTTAGCCACTTCAATAGAAAAGACAGAGATGGCATGAGCATTCTCAATTGTCCCATAGTTATTACTGGCTAATACATAAATAAGATGTCAATTAATCAGATATGCTAATTGAAATGATTGTAAACATAGAGAGTAGTTTATTATGCAAAGTATTTCTCTGTAACATTCTGAGGCTCTGTCTTTTGGTTTCCAGAATATATTAATATTTATTTTTAATTAATGGAAGGGGAACCATGTTAGGAATGTAAGTCACCTAACAGTTGGGTTGGAAACTATATAAACCAGGATAGACATTTTAATACTGTCTCTTTAAGGGAATGCTAAAATTGTAATTGGGTGTGGTTCCTCAAATGGCCATAAGATGGAGCCAGAAACCTGGGTTGTTCCGTTCTGTTGTTGCTGAGAGTGTTGCCGTTCCTGCATTTTTCCCTATTGACTGTTGCTGATTGTTGATGTGAGGCTATTTACTGAACTGTTTTTGATACTGGACTTTGTTATTGGATTATCCCTGGACTTAAAACTGACTGCTTTAACCGTGAATGACTTGGACTGTTTGTTGAACTTTGCTTAACGGTTTTACTGGAAGTAAAAACCTACATTTTACTATACAGTATATCTGTATGCTGGTTGTGTGTTATTCTTCACCACTCTCACTACGTCTCCCTGTGTGCGCTCATTCTCCTAACGGGGAATTACCTCAACAAACTATAAAAATAAAAATATAATGTTAGATTATAGATCACAGTGCCATAAGTATGGCTGTACTAATAAGTCTAAATTTGATCCATATGAATATTGCAGCTACTTGTGGATTATTTCATTCTATTAAATGTCACACTGAATGTTTTTAAAAAATAGTGCCAGGAAAAAAATACTTAGTACTTTGTATATTTTATACAGAATATTTCCAGAAATACATGGATTTTTCTATGCAGCCTTTTCCCCTAATGTAATTATTCTAGTATATAATTTCTCCTGAACAATTTTCCTATTATTCAGTTCATTAGCATGCAATTTAACTGGTATTTTTTTTAAAGAAAATCTTTCAAATATGGTATTGATATAAAAGCTTCAAAATGATAAATAAAAGTAGTGCTGGTCAATAAAAAATAATAAATTGTCCTATTTCTACTGTTTGCAGTTCTTTTTTGAACTTCTAAACACTTATATCAATTTAAAAAATATTTATCATACTTGTTTTGTTCCTTTTAAAATATATCATTACATTGTCCCAAAGGTGCTTTTTCATGTGGCAACTGGACTTTCTTGATTTTTTCTTTGAAGACGTTTTGCTTCTCATTCAAGAAGCTTCTTCAGCTCTGACAGGATAGTTGCGAATGGAAGGATTTATATTCCTTGCAGACAGCTGGTCATTTGCATCATTTTAAAGAGCCATTGAAACACTTGGGGGTTTATCTGTGTCCTCAGGGTCACTTGAGTAGTGCTCTTGGTTCCTGTAGTCTGCAGTTTTTTCCTCTGGAAATCCATTCCTACTCCCACATCATTCAAAGAGTGTTCATCCCAAATTGTATAGCTAAAAGTCTGTAGAGGTTCTCAGTCATTGAGGTCATGGGACAACTTTTTTTCATGGGGCAAATTTTCAATTTCATTGTACACATCTGCAATAAATGTTTGTTTGTTTGATTGGTTGATTGATTGATTGATTGATTGATAACTGAGAATCTCTGCAGACTTATATCATTACATTGCAGTCATATTTATCTATACCTATGGCAAACAAATCTTCCTATTAAATAGAAAACATCTTCCATAAAGCCAAGATATAACTGATCCCTTTTTCTTTTTTAAGTTATAAGTAATCTTTCTATATCAAGATCTGCCAGAAAAAGAACTATAATTCATTTTGCATTGTATCTCATGAGATCAAAGTACAACTCATAAGAATTTCAATTTCCATCCTAAGAACTTCATGTAGTAGCACTAATTATTTAATTAAAACATAGAAGCAGAATTTATTTCCTTAGGGTTACAATGTATTCATGGAGTCTCTAAATTCTCTTTCTCTTTTTTGGTATCTACCCCCAAGATATCATTCTCCTTATTTTCTTTACATTTTCCTATTTTTAAAAAAAATGAAATCAATTCATACCTGGAAGCTAAACAACTGCCTTTCCAAATTATAAATGATGGATAATTTTTGAGAACACACACTGGCCCGGTGTATAACAAAAGATAGTTATATTAAGTTTCAGTTAATCGGATTAATTTTAACAATGGCAGTAAGAACAACTTCACAATAGCTGAATTAATTATTGAGGGAGATATTGAGCTTCCTTTTACTGGTTGTGTTCAAACAGGTGGTTAAACTGGTACTTATTAGGAATACTTTAAATGGGATTCCATGCACTGACAAATGGACTGATATTGAAAGCCAAAATAATCCCTTTAAAAGTTTTGATTTTACAAAAGTGTGAGGGAAGTAGCAGTGTTTTGACACTCCACGAACAAGAGTAAATTTTTGTCTTAACTATTTAAATAGTTAATTTTATCACGGCATGTTCAGGTACAGAGAAAAGACCATGTGTTTGCCATTTCAAGTTTGCAAAAACAATCAATTGTATTATTGATTGTTGCAAGTAACTAAGTGCGTGTGAAGTTTGGCTGCATTTGGCTGGGCTCAGGTGGTACAGTGGCAATAAGGTTTGTTATTAATTTTATGGTGCAGGTGGTTTCAGTCTTTTTTTCTTTTGCTGGATATACAAGTGCATTTCACTTGAACCCATCTCCTTTATTTAATTTTGTTGTCTGGCTGATGTTTGGCACTGAAAGATATGACCAGTGTTAGTAGTTTCTTGAGAAGACTGATTGTTCAGCTGAATAATATTTTGAACTGTTCCATTCATTTATCAGTGCTATAGACTTTGCTTGCTTGCTTTCCAGGGAAGACCTGGAATGCTTTCATACAAATGATGCCAACCTGTTTATTCTTAACAGTTATTTATAAAAGTGAAAATTTTTAACATAAAAATACTCATATTTACATCAATTTGTGAAACACACATCCAAAAAAGCGTCTGTTCCTCATTCACTTTTCTTACAGTTTAAACCAATGTCATCTTAAGCAAATGTTGTCATTTATAATAACTGATTCCATGATATCCTGAATCCTATTTCTTTGAAACTTGACATCTTTCTCCAAAGCAAAACTATTTCACTGTTAATATTTACATATACCTAATATGTGTCAATATGTGTTTAATGTTTAAAACCTTACAATTTCCAATAAATAATCTGTGGAAATCTTAAAAATTTATTTTGCTGGAATATTTCAGTATACAGCAGCATTGTACTACAGATTTAATTGTAGCTCATGGAAATACTACTATGTGACTGATTTAACACATTTTAGATCAAAACTTTTTGCCACTATTATCTTTCCAAAATATCCTGTATATTTTACTTCCTGCATACACTTAGCAATAGCACTTAGTATTTAAACTTATATATCACTTCATAGTGTTTTACAGCACTCTGTAAGTGGTTTACAGAGTCAGCATATTGCCTCCAACAATCTAGGTTCTCATTTTACTGACCTTGGAAAGATGAAAGGCTGAGTCAACCTTGAACAGGTCAGGGCTGAACTCCTGGCAGTAGACAAAGTCAGCCTGCAATACTGCATTTTAACCACTGCATCACCATGGCTCCACTTATTGGTCTTTGGCCATTATCTTGATCCTTTGAAAATATTTGTAAGAATTCACTTGCCCCAAAGGTTAAAAGAGAGTAAAAGTCATGTGCATTAATAGAAACTTTGCCAATCTGCTGCTATATGAATGCTTTTTTCATACCAATATTACTGAAACCAGTTATTTATTTTTTCCTTATCTATATTTCAAGAAACCATTACAGAGAAGCATAGAAGTAAATTTGTGTTGTAGCTAAGCAAATTTGATAGGTGGATATTTTATTAATTTAGCTTATCTATTTCTGCTTTCAGAGATATTACTATTCCTGGTTTAGATTTAATTTGGTTGATATGTTATTTTTAAATCTGGCATGCTATTTTCAGCTTTTTGTTTTACTATATTGAACACAACTCTACTCATATATTTAACATAATGAGATGTTGAATGTATCCTAAACTGAACAGTTTTTCCATCATATGTTACAGAAATGATTTTTTAATGCTATATTTCAGGCTAGGACATATTTTAGTACACCTAAAATACGTGTAATAAATGATGTTAGAACTATAAGTAGAATTATTTAACTCCAAAATAATAGTGTATAAGCCATTTTCTTTTTACAGTTTACAGCTATAAGAATTTCAGCCCAATTATATCATTTCAAACATATATAACAGTGCTGAACATATTGATATTCCTAAATAAATATGCATGTATTACTCATGACAATTTGTGGTTCCTTTTCAATAGGAGGAGAAGTCACAAAGCCCAGATTTACTCAGTATTTTCATGGCAGTCTTGCCAGTCTTACCATACGGCCAGGCAAAATTAAGAGTCAAAAAGTGATTTCCTGCTTGCAGGCTTGCAAGGAAGGTCTGGATATTAACTCCCTGGAGAGCCTTGGCCAAGGAATAAAGGTAAGAAATGAACTGATACAATCTTTACTAACATCTAAAACTGATTTATGAAGTGATTTATGAAGCAGAAGATAGAATACAAACTCCAAGAAGCAATCTAATTTGCCATAAAGTCACACAAAGACAGTAAAAGTGGACCGTTGGGACAATGACTGTGTTCTCTCTAGTGTAAACCTATGGAAATCAGATAGTGTAAGTGTTTCACAACCATTCAGGATTTCCATTTCATTCTGTCTGAAATGATTCTGTATAGAAGCAAGTGAGTTTCCCATGAGAGACAACACACACACACATATTAACAGGTATGTAAAATCAAAGAACACTTGTGAAAGACTTCACACACACACCTCAAAAAACCCTCAGCAAGTTGTGGAAGTATGACACTAAAATTTCATAACTAGAACTGTCTGCAGAAGATAGATCCCTTTTTCTTATTGTTTAACATAACATCAGCATGATCAAAAAGGGTTCTAGCACAAATTACAAAATTGAGGATTTACTTGGATCTTTGCATCAAGTCAACTTCTGCTTTTGCACAGTACTAAACAGCCACAAATTACTTTTTTATTTTTTATTCTAAGAAATAATTCTAATTCATCGGAACTTTTTTAAAAAGTCAAACCTCTAATGCAGATTTCACAAACTGCAACACATTATGCATACAAATCATATAACATCTCCACCAGTGGGAGTAACCCTGAGTAGATAAATATTGAAAAAAAGTGGAACGAACATATTACAGGTGCATTCAATCTATCAGATTCACTGAGTGCTGTACTTTCCACAATTTTTATTCTTTTAAATTAAAATACTTATATTGAAAACAGAACTTGTGGTAAACAGAATATTCATTTTGTTTGTCATTAAAGATACTAGAAACTCTTTCAACATGTTAGCTATAGCAAATCAACACTCTCAAATTCTGTAAAGACTGAAAATAAGTTTGACCAAAATGCATTGCATCATATTACATTATACACTGCTCAAAAAAATAAAGGGAACACTTAAACAACACAATGTAACTCCAAGTCAATCACACTTCTGTGAAATCAAACTGTCCACTTAGGTAGCAACACTGATTGACAATTAATTTCACATGCTGTTGTGCAAATGGAATAGACAACAGGTGGAAAGCATAGGCAAGCATAGGCAAGACATCCCCAATAAAGGAGTGGTTCTTCAGGTGGTGACCACAGACCACTTCTCAGTTCCTATGCTTTCTGGCTGATGGTTTGGTCACTTTTGAATGCTGGCGGTGCTTTCACTCTAGTGGTAGCATGAGACGGAGTCTACAACCCACACAAGTGGCTCAGGTAGTACAGCTCATCCAGGATGGCACATCAATGCGAGCTGTGGCAAGAAGGTTTGCTGTGTCTGTCAGTGTAGTGTCCAGAGCATGGAGGCACTACCAGGAGACAGGGCAGTACATCAGGAGACGTGGAGGAAGCCGTAGGAGGGCAACAACCCAGCATCAGAACCGCTACCTCCGCCTTTGTGCAAGGAGGGACAGGAGGAGCACTGCCAGAGCCCTGCAAAATGACCTCCAGCGGGCCACAAATGTGCATGTGAATGCTCAAACAGTCAGAAACAGTCTCCATGAGGGTGGTATGAGGGCCCAACATCCACAGGTGGGGGTTGTGCTTACAGCCCAACACCGTGCAGGATTTTTGGCATTTGCCAGAGAACACCAAGATTGGCACATTCGCCACTGGTGCCCGTGCTCTTCACAGATGACAGCAGGTTCACACTGAGCACATGTGACAGATGTAACAGAGTCTGGAGACGCTGTGGAGAACGTTCTGCTGCCTGCAACATCCTCCAGCATGACCGTTTTGGCAGTGGGTCAGTAATGGTGTAGGATGGCATTTCTTTAGGGGGCCACACAGCCCTCCATGTGCTTGCCAGAGGTAGCCTGACTGCCATTAGGTACTGAGATGAGATCCTCAGACCCCTTGTGAGACCATATGCTGGTGCGGTTGGCCCTGGGTACCTCCTAATGCAAGACAATGCTAGACCTCATGTGGCTGGAGTATGTCAGCAGTTCCTGCAAGACGAAGGCATTGATGCTATGTTCCCCAGACCTGAATCCAATTGAGCACATCTGGGACACATTTGTCTCACTCCATCCCCCAATGCCACATTGCACCACAGACTTTCTAGAAGTTGGGGGATGCTTTAGTCCAGGTGTGGGAGGAGATCCCTCAGGAGACCATCCGCCACCTCATCAGGAGCATGCCCAGGCATTGTAGGGAGGTCATACAGGCACTTGGAGGCCACACACACTACTGAGCCTCATTTTGACTTGTTTTAAGGACATTACATCAAAGTTGGATCAGCCTGTAGTGTTTTTATCCACTTTAATTTTGAGTGTAATTCCAAATCCAGGCCTCCATGGGTTACTAAATTTGATTTCCATTGATAATTCTTGGGTGATTTTGTTGTCAGCACATTCAACTATGTAATGAACAAAGTATTTGATAAGAATATTTCATTCATTCAGATCTAGGATGTCTTATTTTTGTGTTCTCTTTATTTTTTTGAGCAGTGTAATTTTTTCTGACTTCAAATTCAGTTTGTGGCATTTCGTAAATACAAGCAGTCCTCGAATAACAACAGTTAACTTAGTGACCATTCAAAGTTACAACGGCATTGAAAAAAGTGACTTATGATCATTTTTCACACTTACAACCATTGCAGCATCCTCATAGTCACGTAATCAAAATTAAAATGCTTGGCAATTGGTTCATATTTATGATGGTTGCAATATGCTTCCTCCTTACAAGCAAAGTCAATCAGTGTTTCACTTAAACAGCTGTGGCACAAATGGTCATAAAATGAGGCAAAATTCACTTGACAAATGTTTCATGTAGCAACACAAATTTTGGGCTCAATTATGGTCAAAAGTCAACTCCTGTTCATTTGAGCATTTATCCATTCATATCAATGTACCCACCCATCAGGTTTCACAATACCTAATTAATGAAAGGCTGTGTGATATAAATTGAATAATAATAATACTTGTGTCTATTCAAAGAACATTTTAAAAAATGATGTCAGCCCTCTCAAGTAAACCAGACAGGAAACCCAACTAGATAAGCTAATCCTATTTTATTATAATTCTACATTATCAGAATCTTGCAAGACTTGAAGATACAAACTTCCCGCCTCTACTTTTAACCTTCTGATCAATTTGGGTGGGTCCTCCCTAAACTACTTTCTCTGAGCATTAAGCTCCATCTCTTGTCTGCTTGTTTCCTGGGTAACATCCCTTCCCCTCATTCCCCAGGTTCATTCACATATTCCATTACAAAAAGCCAACATGATAGTTACAACTGCCTGATCAAAACCATACTTCTTAGTAAATACTTGACATTAACACATGTATAAAAGGGAAAGGTCTTTGATTTCAGTGTCATCCCCATAGAGGCTCCAGGTCAATATGAAATGTGATATAAAAACTAAACTTTGTACATATTATGAATACACTATAAATATAGCATTTATACAACTTCTATCAATATTGCTTGCAGTGTGCTGCTTGCTGTTCTTGGAGTGAGGGTAGGGAGGAATGATTAAAAAAGAAGGCATGAACTGATTCCATTACACAGTAAGAGACTATCATGTTTACTGATCAGATCGTGAATTCGTAAAAAGCCCTTACATCTAAAAAACATCCAGGTTACCCAGGAGCTTGCTCTTCCTGAGACCATCATCTGTGAACTGTCCTTAAATATCACATTTTGATTCTTACTATGTTACAGAGCCCCTGATTATGACATCAAACATGTAAACAAGCTAAATTCACTACTAACATGGGCATAATCCTGCCCACACGCTTTTATCTTTCTTGGTGACTTCAATCTACCTCATATTAACTGGACCCTAAACGAATGTACAACTGAACCCATATATGCAACCTTCTACAATGCAGTAACAAGTCTAGGACTAGAACAACTAGAATAACTAGTAACCAACAACACTAGACTTAACAACTGCCTCGATCTCATCTTCTGCAATAGTTTGAATTTAATTTATGAAATGCAAACTAAAGAACCCTTTTCCAACAGTGACCACAATGATTGACTTTTGTCTCAACATACACCCACACAAAAATCATCACAATGACGTAATCCCCAATTATAACTCAAAAAAGGCAACTATGATCTTATAGACAATGATCTCTCATCCCTTGATTGGCAATCTCTATTCAGTGGATGCAATACTGTTGAAGACCATTACAACATATTTTTACTTGAAGTCAAAAGAGTCATCAAACTATATGTACCAATAACAACTCACAAAAAAAA